AAAACAAGGCAGTATTTCATCTATGCAAGAATTTGGTTTGGATGTTAAAGAGACTGCCAAACTTAGGTTAAAACACTTACGCAAGTCAATTGATCAAGCAAGACTTGCACGACAACGAGAAGAAGCTTCAAAATCTAAGCTAGAGTCATTAGAGACAACTTATCCACCGGCAGTTAGATTTGATGTTGAAAATTTGGATGTTACAGTAGAAATGCGTAATAATTCAAATGATGTGATAGTCAGTGATAGTGAAAAAGTCAGTGATATCGATAAAGTTAGTGATAGTGATATAGTCAGTGATAGCAAAGAGGACTCGACCATAGAAAAGCAAGATAATTATGTTAAGCGAAACTACCTTGATATTAGTAATGCTGCCGTTGCTTCTGTTAGATTTGGTGTATCATCGACTGCTACTGCTGCAATCATTAATGGTCTACTGAAAGATATTATGAAAGCAGGGAAACTTGTTGAAGATAAAAAAAATCTTATATGTGATGGCATGAAAGTTTTTCGTGCCAAAGAGCGTGCTATGAAGTATTCCAGAATAAAAGAAAATTTTGACTGTGAAAGAAATATAATCACTGGAATTTTTGTTGATGGTAGAAAAGACAAAACTTTAATTCTTATCCATGATAAAACCACAGGCACCTTCAGAAAAAAAATTATCAAAGAAAATCATATAACTGTGACAGAAGAACCTAGAGGTTGTTACCTTACTCATTATACATCAAAGCCTAAGTCAGAAACATTTAAACCAGCCAAGCAATGTGCTATTGGATTATTCAACTGGTTAATGGAAAGAGGTAAAGATCTTAATCTCCAACTAATTGGCAGTGATACTACAAATGAAATGTCTGGATGGAAAGGTGGAATGATTCATTTTGTGGAAGAACTTCTCAATCGAAAACTTTTTAGATCTTTTTGCTGGCTTCACATTAATGAGCTTCCATTCCGTCATATTGTTGAAAAACTTGATGGACCAACTTCTTCAGATAAAGGATGGTGTGGAGCAGTAGGTAAACTATTTTCCAAAGTTGATAATCTTGAAAGAATTACTCAATTTACTCCTATTTTGCTTCTGGAGCCTCTTGTTAATATCAGTGAAGATTTCTTAAAGCAAATTAGCACTGACAGTTTAGTTGCATGGAAGTACTTGAATGCAATTCTGAAAGGAAAGCTTGATCCTGAAGTAGAAGCTCTTAAATGTGGTAGATTGTCTCACAGTCGATGGCTTACTTGTGGCATGAGATGCTTGCTTCTCTATATGAGTAAGCATGATCTTGAACCTGTTAATGCAGAGATCTTAAGACTGCTTGCAACTTGGGTGACTCAGGTTTATCTTCCAATGTTCTTTGAGATAAAAGTAAAACATGACATTAAATACGGTTCTTGTCATCTTTTAAAGCTGTTTCGACTTTGGCAGAAGCAAGATGATAGGATTAAAGAAGCATCTAAACTTTATCTCAGAAATGAATCTTGGTGGGCTCATCCTGAGAATATACTTGTCTCGCTTCTCTGTTCTGATAACTCAGAGCAAAGGTTATTTGCAGTCGACACAATATTGGCCGTTAGGAAGGGAAGTGAATTGGGCTCAAATGATGTTAGACCTTTTAAAGTTCCCCAAACAATAAACCTTGATGCATGTGACATTAAAGAACTTATTGATTGGAAAAAAGAGGTTGTTACTGAACCAATTTTCACTACAAACATGTCGTTAGTCCAACTCAATGCATTGATAGTTTCTCCCCTGCAGCTACCTCCATACTCATTACATACTCAAAGTTGCGAGAGAGCAGTCAAATTAGTCACAGAAGCAGCTGAGTCAGTCTGTGGTTGGGATAAAAGAGATGGTTTTATAAGAACACAATTGCGAAATCGTGAACTAATGCCTTTGTTTAAGTCAAAAAAAGACTTAACTATTTAATTACTAATTTGGTATTTTTTGATTTTATTTAAACTTTGTTGTGCATAACATTAAATGTTTGAAAAAATTCTTGTTTTTTATGTTGATCTTAAAAGAATGTTAGGGGGCTGAAAAGAAAATTTGTAGCAAAAAAATAACAGCAAGATTTTTAATTTAAACGGGTATTTTGAGTAAGTTTGAGGGAGAATCCAGTGTGTGGGAATATATATATATATATATATATATATATATATATATATATATATATATATATATATATATATATATATATATATATATATATATATATATATATATATATATAATAATTGTAATATACCTTGATCTTATAATCATAATAAAACTATCAAATATTGAAAAAAAAAAAAAAAAGGGGGGGGGGGAGCCATAGCCCTTTTTACGCTCTCTGGATCTAGAATCCTGGAAGTTAAATAATAATTATATCTGTTTTATTTCACATAGTTTACTTTTTACCTAATATAATTGTAATTTTTAGTATTAATTGACTAAAACCTTTCCAAAATTAAGCTTTAGTAAAAAAAACTCTAATTTTAAAACCCGTTTCCCGGTAGCTAGACATCAATATTTTGTAAAAATATTATTATATTTGAATTCCCTATACCCAAATACATAGGAATCCAAGCGTGCTAGTCAAAATTCTAAAAATTTAATTTTTGGCTCTAGTATGATATACCCTAACCATCATGTAATAAATTGTGTCATCAAAAAAATTGTTTTAAAAATACAAAAATAAAAAAGGTTTTGAAAATAGTAAACACATGCTCGTAAATTTCATATTTCACATTTATTGCAAGTTCAATTTTATAACTAATATTAACTTTCTTAATGCATGAATTGTATAGCAAAATAAAATTACAGTTACAAAATCTCAGCAAAAAAAACAAAAACAAATCGCTAGGGATAGTGCAAAACCGCGTAACTAGCATTGAATAATACCGCGTATCTACAGTGCATTTTTTTTACTGGAAAAGTTTACAACTTTACTTTTTTTTTATTTCAACAGATTTTGAGTTCATTTTAGTATAAAGAGTAATATTCATATTTATTGTAATGTCAACAATAGATATTTGGTTTTAAAATTATTTATATCCAAATATAGTAGCCAATGCTAGTTATGCGGAATAGCACTATCCCTGATGAAAAGTTTTTTAATTACAAAAGCATTAAAAAAACACAATTGATTGCAATTGATTGTGGCAACGAAGAATACCAATAATTAATTTTTTCATGCATAGTCATTAAATTTTATAATGACTATGGTTCATTGAAATATTTGAATGTGCTTTTATGTTTTAAATTCAAGCAAACATTCAGTCTAGTTATCTTGTTTTTTAAATTTCTAGTACCAGTTTGTTGTAGTAAAAAAACATTCTTGTTATTAAATATATTTAATTTACATTTTAAATATAAGCAACTAGTAAAGTAAAGAAATTTATTTTCCTCATTAAATAAATTTTTAGAACTAGTTTGATATAATCAAAAAACATTTATTAAACTTATTTTACTTTTCAGCCAAAAAGGGTGAAACTTTTAGAAATAGAATTTGTGGGTGTTGAACAAAACAAATTTGTGATTTTATAAATTGTACTTTATTTCTTGGTAACTTTTTTTTTTATATTATTTGCTGTTGTTGGAACACATTGAAAAAAATCATTTGCAAATTTTGAGAAATGAACTTTTTTCCCGAATAATTTTAGGGATTTTCGGAAAATCCCAATTCTCAAAAAGTATAAAAATGTCTCTTTTCCAGGAGACATTTTTGCAGTTATGCAAGGCTGTAGTTAAACCAATAACAGCAATTTTATTTCTAGTTTTAAACAATAAATTATAATTTTTGATGTTTATTTTTCTAATAATTTTTAATAGTGATTAATTTTAAATAGTTTTTGGAATTATTATTAAACTTTAATTAGACAAACTTTATTTGAAGAATGGGATTATTCACTTTTGAATTGGGAATTTTAATTTTATGAGCATTTAGGAATACCGCATTTGACGAGTGTGTGTGTGTGTGTGTGTGTGTGTGTGTGTGTGTGTGTGTGTGTGTGTGTGTGTGTGTGTCTATATATATATATATATATATATATATATATATATATATATATATATGTATGTATATATATATATATGTGTATATATATATATATATATATATATATATATATATATTTAAACAATTTTAAAATGTATTCTACAAAGAAGAGTGCTCAATGTTCTTAAAAGAACAGAGCAATTATAAATTAGTAGAAAATCACTTAACAAAATTTTTATTTTCATTTTACACTGCGTTTCATCAATAAAGACTCATCAGAAATCATCTCTTTGTTTCATTTTTTCATTTTTCATTTCATTCATATCAGTTTTTTTATTTATTTGTAAAATAATATATGTATATATATATATACATACATACATACATACATACATACATACATACATACATACATACATACATACATACATACATACATACATACATACATACATACATACATACATACATACATATATATATTAGGGTGCCTCTATAAAAATAGCTTTTTTTGAAATTGTCTCCTGCCATCACCTAAATGTGTTCTATGTAATAAATTAACACTAAAAAAAATTTTAGGGGCCATTCAAGATCCTTAAGCATCAAATATTTAAAAATCAAATATTTTGAAAAAAAATGCTCTTCAAAAGTATATAATGTTGGGTCTCGAAAGAAGTAAAATTTTATAAAAATTTCAAAAATAATAAAAACATTTTATGGAAACACTAATTAAAAAAGTTTATTTAAAAAAAAAACTTGAAAATATATAAACATACGCATACATATATAGAAGTGCACTCATTGATGCATCAATAAACTATTCAACAATGGACTAATTCAAACAAATGTATAACATTTCAATAGATAGTCTATAGTCATTTTATGACTTTATGATTTTATGACTTCTTATTTGCAATTCAAATATTATTATTATTATTATTATTATTATTTTTATTATTATTAATATTATTACTAAATAAAGTATTAAAAATACTGATCCGAATTTTTATCTTTTTTGTGTAGATATTTGATGGTGTAGATATTGGCTATGATTTGGTGTACAGATGGTTTTTATATCCTATTAATGTTTTACGTGTAAAAATCTCTCCTTTCGAACTTGGACCAAGTAATTTGGCTTGTCTTCGAATTGAATTATTTGGTTGTTTAAATAGTGAGTTTTTATACATTTTGTTTGACTTAATGTTGTCATGCATGTCAACTAGAATTTAAATTGAAGTAAACTTCAGTTTAAACTCTAGTTGAAATGTGTGGCATGTTTTCTCCATAGGATTTTTATGGTAAACTATCAGTGTTTTGTTCTGTTTTTAATAGAACAAAACCTTATTATATTTAACAGAGCAACTTTACTTTGTTGAAAAGTTTTTTCAGAAAACAATAATATTATATTTTTAATCTAACCCTAATCCTGTTTGTTCTAGCAGTGTTGTAAAAAATTCCAATTTTTTATTATTGTATATGTACTGCATTTCTTTTAAATTCATAAATTCACCTCCCCACTACTCCTGTGTCCACTACAGTGGTGCTACTCCGTTTTGAAAAATATTCTCTCAATTTTTAATTCAGAAAAACTATCATTTTAAAACAAGGGTGCTGTGCAGAGAAAGAGGTTTGAGCACAGCAATTTCTAGGTAGATTTGAATCTCAACCTCTTGATTGCCAAATGTTTTACCACTAGTCTACTACCAAATTGCTAAATTGAATCTATGGTGCTCAAGGGAACTCCTTTAACTATAAATCATGTTAATTAATTTCATTAAATTAAAAACATGTTCAGAATATTTTTGACTTAAAAAAATTGCAATAAAAATTGTTATTGCAACTGAGTTATTTAAAGTTGGTAACTTAGTATTTAATTTATCATTGGCAACTAAGTTATTTAAAGTTGGTAAGACAATATAAATGTTGCAAACTAGTTTTTATACTAACATGTTCATTTTACTTCAAAAACTAGTTTGCACAAGATGTTGTAATCATGATGTTGCAACCTTGTAAATTACCGTCAATCAGGATGAGTTTGAACACTTTTTAAACATTTATGCATCATAGAAGAAAACTGTTAGCCTAGTTGCTACCTTTTTTTTAACAGAACATTATATAATCTAAAACCTCCTGAAAAAATTGTAGGTCTGATCAACACTATGCAGTAAATATCATAATTTTCTTATATTACATGAACATAATTTTCTTATCTTACATGAACATAATTGTATTTTTAAGAGTGAGAATGGTGAGCTGATTTGGCAACATTTAATGCAACATGATGTTGTTCTTGTTTTTTTTATTATGGATAGATTTGTTTTGCAAGTGGATTTATGCCTAAGCCTAGATTCTTCTTAAGAATATTTAAAATAGATTTATTAAGAACCATTACTGTGTCTTCAGCACCAGGCTCTTTATTGTTTCCTGTAAGATGTTTTTTTTTAAAAACATCTTTGCTTCCAACAAGGCTGCAAGCAACCACTAATTAGTATTGGAAGTTACTGGAAGAGAAAAGATGAAGATTGTATAAATAAATAAATCAAGAAAGCAAGATGAAGGAAGCAAATTCCAAAGAACAGATGTTCGAGAAAAAAAAATAGAGGAATAAGAGTTTTTGGAGCACTTAGAAACAGTCATAGAAAAAGGATAAGACTTAATTGAATGACAAGTAACACGAGAATAAGTTTTAGTAGATGGCACAAATGATGCTAGTTCTTTTGAGTAGTCCCCATTATAGTATTTGTTGAAAAGAAAAAGAGAAACAACATTATGAAGATGTGATAATGGTTGAAGGTTGGCTGCAAGAGCAGGTCCAACTATGTTTACAATGCGTTTTTACACCTTATCTAAAAGAAAGGGCATCATTAGAAGATCCGCCCCAGATATAGCAACAGTATTCCATACAAGGCCGGATTTGAGATTTATAAAGATAGAGAATAGAATTCAAGGTAAGAAAGTGTCGAGCTCAATAAAGAGATGTAACTTTCACAGATGCTAATTTTGTAACAAAATTGATATATGGTTTTCAAGAAAGATCAAAGTAAGAATTAATCCTAAAAGATGAAGGGTAGATGACTCATCGAGTACATTACCTTTCATAAATATAAGAAGGTCTAAATTATTGCGATCTCGATTGGCTGAAAAAAAATGAGTTTTATCTGAATTAAAATTCACCAGCCACTGTAAGCCCCATCCTGTAGCAGAAGTGAGATCGTTTTCATGCTCAAATGCCCCCTCTAAGAAATTAGAGAGAGCTGACTTCTTATTATGACAAGAATAAATGGTAGTATCATCAGCAAACAATGCTACCTTAGATGTGAAAATATCTGGAAGATCGTTAATGTAAATTAAAAAGAGTATAGGGCCAAGGATTGAACCTTGGGGAACCCCTGAGGTTACAGAATAAGAAGAAGAGTGCTATCCATCAACGACAACTTTTATACTACAATTGGAAAAGAAGGATTCAATAATCTTAAAGATGTTTCAAGATACATCACAAAAAGAAAGTTTATTGAGAAGACCAGCATTCCAAATTTTATCAAACGAATGTCAAGCAATGGATCAACCTATTTGATGGCTATATCAGGTAGAACGCAACTAGTAGAATTAAGAGATGATATTGATGAAAAGTTCTTAGCAAACAATTCAGCATTGTCTTTAGGTGAGGTGACAAAGTCTGAACCATACTAGAGAGGTAGAATTACAGACTTGCTCTTATTATTAATACTATTAAAGATACTTCACAAGTCACGAGAGCTTAATTTTTGTCATGAAATACAAGATTTCATGACCTGAGAATAGCGGGTTTTGGCACTAGACAAAATCTTTTTACAATGGTTCCTAGAAGTAATAAACAGAGAGGGAATAAAGGATTCCATGCCAACCTGAATACACAAAGTTATGTAAGAAGCACATTTGTCAACAGGAAGATGAAAGATTTCTACCCAAGGGCCTACACAAAGAAATTCATAGAAAGAGTCCCAGGCAGCTTTAAGGTAGTTGTAAGATGTTTGATTATAGGGGGAGTCTGATGATTTTTTTATCACCTCACTTTTGTTCCTTTAGTTTTATCACCTCAGTTTTGTTCCTCCAGTCAATCATTCGAGTCAAACCTTCTTTTGAACTATCAAGTATGGTTTGTCCTCCATGGTTTTTGTGGAAATTAATCTCCAACTTTTACTTATGGTAAACCCATGGTTTTTCATTTTATTTTCAGCTGTTAATAGGTCTGCTTTTAACTTTTTTTTATAGCATCAGCTAATTTTCGTTCTTTTGAAATTTTGAGACATTCCCTAAAATAAACAAAAAAATTCAAATTCTTATTAAAAATGCAAATAATATAAATAAATAAGCAAATAATAATATAGACAAGGTGCACCCAAATTTTTTGTTTTGTGAGAACAATATAAACCTGAACTTTATGTGTAGCAACTTTTATGGTGTTTTGTTATGTTGTTATTAAGATAGCTTAAAAAGACACTTAACTGCCCCAACTACACAACTCTTGCTGTTTATATGCAATAGGTAAAAGCTGAAAAAAGAAAATTGTTTGCACAGCCAAAAATTATCTTCTATATAATATATTTAAAGAAACTGAATCAAAATAACACAACGCATAGCCCTATTGTATGTGTTACTTCACCTTTTATTAACTTTGTTAGTGATGTTAATTTTCACACCGCTGTTCATAGTCACCCACTTTGGCAGTAAAACTGCTGAAGGGGGTGACTATGACCCTCTTTGGCAGATTATATAAAAGCTTTTAAATCTGAAGAATAGACAAAAGTGCATAAGTATCATTTTCACCAACAAACCCTGTCCTTGGGAAGTGCATACAAGTTTCCAACATGTTCTCTCATCGAATGAGCAAACATGCTGCAAACTTGCATGCACATATCATATGTATTTAATATTTTAAGGTTCACAAGGACAAGTCCTTGTGAAGTGTATACAACCAACAAGTTGACTGACAGCTTTTTACTTCCAGACCGTGAATAAAAGGTAACAATTTATTTATACATATATAAATGCAGCATTAGACTCATACTGATGATATTATACTACAACAGATATATATATATATATATATATATATATATATATATATATATATATATATATATATATATATATATATATATATATATATATATATACACACATTGCTTTTAGAAAAATCTGCTCCATTAATTTTTTTTTTTTGCTTAAAGCATATTTAACTACCTTAAATTTGAAAATAAAGAAGATATTCAACAGTTTTTTCACTTATTTGCAGTTAAAAATCTTTTTAAAGAAATATTGCGTCTTGGATGACATAATAAAACATAAAACTTTATTTAAAAATATCAATATCTTTTAGGTCTTTTCAAAATATTTAAAAAGGCTTTAAATGTGACTAATTTCTCAAATTAACATATAAATTAAAAAAATAATTATGAATAATGGTTAGGTTGAGAATAAACTAGAACAGAAAAAATTAAAATGTTTGTGTACCTTTTTTTTTGCAACTCTTTCCATTATTTATTTGGTATTCCTTTACTAAAAGTAAATTATTAAAAAAAGTGAACTTGTTATTGACGTTGTCAAGAAATATTTTTCCTTTTCCTTCAAAAAATAAAATCTTTATTTTTTATTTACTTTTATTTTATTTATTATTAATTGTTTAATTTTAACAAATATGTATGGGGTTTTATGATGTTTTGAAAAAAGAAAATGAACTCAAATTTTACGCTTTTTTTTTTTTTTTTGAAAGTATAAATATACAGGCCTTGTTATGAGATTTTGTTACTTAATTAAAAACCGTAACGCAAGTTAACGTGTTTACTCAATTAGCATACTTATATTGTAATTACTCAATTAGCATGTTTATATTGTTAAATGATGCGCATTTTAAAATACTGAATTATAATTAAATTTCAATAAATTTAAATAATAACCATTTAATAATCATTTAAAGTCTCAATACTCTCAAATTGATTAAATACTTTTATTTAAATTTTCAATGAAATTTAAAAATGTTGTTTGAGAAAAATATATATTTGCTTATTTTAAAAAACATTTATTTCCTATTTATTTGCAGCAATAATTGTTTATGGTTGAGTTTTTTAATGGTCAAAAAAAAAAAAAAAATTTTAACAATTTTTTTTAACATTTTGGTTTCAACAAAATTTT